AGTGCAACACTGAAATCCGTATTTCTCTCGGAAAATGAGGGAATGGTGCACGACCATTAAAAAATATGACTGGGTTTCTAAAGATACAAAGCTTAATGCAAATGGGTGAAGTGTCCCTTTAAAGGAATATGTCAATGTCAATGTGAGAAATACATGATTTTTCGCCAAGACAAGATTGATGCCACTTGTCACACTTGACATTGTTGATGTCACACTATTCTTAAAAGTCTAAATTGTCTTTGATTTAATGCCCAATTAGAAGTTTTATTTTCAAAACGGCGTGTGGATCGAATATACATACGTCAACAATGAGGAAGTCGAGCCAGCACCAGGCGTTGGTGAAGTACTTGACAAAGCCGTATGCCACCCACTTTAACAGCATTTCAAGGATGAAGATATAAGTGAAGACCTTGTCGGCATACTCCAGCATTGTTTTGATGGTCCTCCGCTGCTCAATGTAAATGTCCTCAAACGCCTGCACAGAACCAAATAAATAATAAAGACTGCTGGTGGAAAAATGAGCACTAGCCATGACCTAAGGCTGATAAATCCTTCAGGACAACTGGGAAGAGGACAGCACACATATTCACACAAACAGCACAGACCAAATGTTCATTGTGTAATTCTAAATGCATAAATTAATATTTATTAACTCCAATTTGTTTAAACTATATGACACCGTGGGTAGGAAATGTTCCAACATCTTTTAACCGGTGCTTCATTATCCCAATTCACCAACCTTACAGGGTGTTAAGATCAGCAGTGATGTGAGAGAGCACTGCCAGATCCAGATATGGAACATGTGGTACCATTGCTAGAAATAGTCTCCTGGGTTGTTTTGAATCACAGGGAACTGGCACCACACCCAGAGTCTGGGGTAATTTAGAGTCCTCAGTTCACCTAACCTGCTTGCCTTTGGACTGTATAATGAAACCACAGCACCTGAAGGCAAACTAGGTGATCACAGTGAGAAAATACAAACTCACTGCACAGACAGGACCAGGACTGAGATCCAAACCCGGGAGATTCTTGCACTTACCCAACATGCTGTTAATAATAATAATAATAATAACTTATTATTGGTTTTGGGTCACAGAAACACCCACTTACCAGCGCTCCACTGCTGAGCAGGATCATGAATATGATGAAGGATTCAAACCAGTTGTGCTCCACTATGATAAAGCAGGTTTTCCTGAGTGTCCACCAGCTCTTAAACTTTGCTCCCTCCTCATTGATCTGGCAGCACTGGAACCTGCTCACACAGCCTGCATGCGTGGGGGAAATGTAGGGAGAGAGGCATACGAAATGACCACATGAATGAATATGTGGTTTATGTTGACTAAAGGCGATTATGCGATTAAACCAAAACCTTCTATGCTTAATTATTAAGTTTGAACCTCCAAACCTCCAAATAATAATCAAAATTAGATACTAACAAAATGTAAATACTACACAACCCATCTCTGATCATTATATTTTATTTCTGTAATCCACACACGGAAAACTGAAGAGGTATTTGCAGACTAAATGTCAGGTTACATTACAAACACAGACAATCCCATAGACTCCTTTTCTTTCTGTCCGGCTGCGCATTTGTATTCTCTGTCACTCAAAGGTAAGTATAACACACCGGTGCTAAGCACAAGCAGTTAATGCGATTTATTTTATGTCTTGAAATGTGCTGTGGGAGCATTTCATCTCCCACCTTTCTCCGTTTGTCCCACTTTCCCACTACCCATCATCCTCCCTGCCTATCACCCTCACATCCATCTCACCCTCTGTGAAGCAGGCCTCTGGGTCCAGTGACTCCTCCGGCTCCAGCTCCACTGAATCCACCCCATCTCCTGGGGGGCGAATATCGACTGTGCTCCCCTCCGATGAACTCAAATGCTGCGGCTCTGCATCGAGCTTCTGCATGGACGAGGAAGAAAATGAGAGTACAAAGTTACACGGCAGTGCCTGGAATGACAAAGGTTCAGTGGTTATAGGAGCCAACCTTCTGAGCTGGTTATCATTGTGATTCTCCATTCACATGTACTCCAGTGCCACAACTGTATACCTTAGTGTGGAGACTAGGCACTGTAATAGCTCACAGAGTTGGGCTCTTTAAAGTCATCGTCATTGTATTGTCATCATCACATGCAGCATCGATCAAATGTACCTACAGGCTTTGATATTAGTTTTATCGGATGGCTTAAATCAGATTATGTGGCAACACATGTCATGGGTAGGTTGGCGTTACGGAACTGCACTGTGGGTACGTTTGATGTGACCTCAGTTCGAGGAAGAGTGCATGCAGTATTCCAGTGCATTATCAATCCAAGCCTGAAATAGTACCAAGCAGAACGTGTGCTGATGTATTTTCATGTCAACTGAAAAATGACCCCCAAATCAGTGTCTATAATTTATCCCATTTCCAAAACTGCTTCTATTAATAGTAATTCCCGCACCCTTAAAGCTAGAATCCACCCACAGAAGGGCTGCTGAACATTTTCCTCAGTGACATGAAAACACGTTATTTCCATTCCTTGAAAGCAGTGTACAAGCTTCTTCTGTTTGTGTTGAAGTAGACGGATAACCACATTAGCTTACCAGCAAAAACCAGTACTGTGCACTGTTTATAAGACAGCATGTGGATGGCTGTTTTTTTCCCATTTGTAAAAACATGTTGAATTAGCACCCATGCATACCCAGAAAACATACAGGGCTAAATGTGGTACTCAACGATTTTTGTCCTTCTTCTCAGCAATATGCAAAACACATGTAAGGACAAGTGTTGCTGCTGTTGTAAAGTTCATTTCACTCTGTCCTCCTTGCTAACTCTGAATTTTGATCCCTGGCAACACTCCTCTGAAACCCTAAAATGCAGTGATCTTTGTATATTAAGGCATCATCTGCATAAAGTGAGACTTTTTGGTGTCGTAAGGCTTCCTGTCTGTTTTTCTTTGGGCAAACATGGTGTTATGTGGCCTCATGTCTGATCTGTCTAGCGTGTGAAGTACAGGAACATGTCATCCTAGACAGTGCAGCAGCTCTGATTGCCGTGGGACCCAGCTAATACGGCATGGGAATGATGGAAGCATGCTGCTCACAAGTGCATCGTTTTCTGGAGGGATGTTTCCCTCCGGTTTCTCCTTCTCTCCTTCAGTAAGAGACCCATTTGACCTCTTCTGGACGTGGATTATATGAGGCTTTTACTCTTAACCTGACATGCTTTTATTTGGCAGATTTTCTTGGCAAGTTTTAGTATATTTGTACAAGTTGGGTGACGAGATTTTTTTGCAGTGGAACAAAATGGATAACACAGGCGTAGAAGCACATAGAAGAGGGGGAATAATGGACAATAATTGTGCACATGCACCCTATCTGGTAGAATTCAGTGTAATTTAAGGAGTTTCTTCAATTTTATATTTGAGGAGGAAAGAAAATGAAGAACTTACCCTCAAGAAAATGCATCATCATCAATAAGTCAGATTCAGTATAAACTACCATATATTATCTGTTTTGCCACCCTGCAAAAATCAGTATTGATTCATTTGTGTTTCAAAAATTATCTCCTTGGAAAGAATTCTGTAAAGAATCTTTCATCATTCTACTATTATTTGACTATCACAGAAAACAAGTACATACAAGTATTCCATGTGTGTATGCATGGGCTATGAACCAGACAAATGAATTTTGTCAAACTAAAGCAAAATTCATTCCTCTATTCCATCTATCTAATTTTTCCTCATTCTCGTCCACCTCCTCTCTTCCTTCATTCTCAAGCTCAGAGTGTTGGATGCCAACCAAGTCCAAAAACCAAGTCAAAACCAAGCAATGAAATCAAAAGCAAAGATTATGTTAGATGAGTTTGTCTATTAATGGAAAAAGGTGGTGTTGGTCATTCCTAATGGGTTTGTAACTGCAATTCAGCCTGATGCTTGGAGATAAATTATGAAGGGGGGGATGGGGACGGGGGGAGGGAAAACTCAAAGATTACAGCATTGAGTGTGCTGCTGTTTGGGGAAAGGGAGGTATAAAGCAAAGAGGGTGGGGTGAGGAGGGTGGGGGACGGAGGGCAGACCAGGCAAAGAACGAAAATGGGCAATCCATTGAAGGTATGAGAAAAAATATGTTGTTTGTCTGTAAATGGCATAGGCAGTCCTCATGGTTAGTGCTATGGTACAATAAAGTGGTCTTACAATTCTCCTCTCACTGAAAACCTTGAGAGCGTCTGTGACACAGCTGCAATAACAAATGGGGGGTTAAACAAAGTAAGTCAAACACACCAAAAGCCAATATACAACCTCAAGTCTGCTTTCATTGTTCAGCTGTAAAGCACAGTGCCATGTTAGCCACAGGGAACAACAATTTACATTTCCCTGAAAGCATATTCCTTATTAGATGCAGTGTAAATGAGTGGGATGCTGTTTTTATACTGGCAATGACACTGACACTTATCTCACACAACAGACATACAAACAGCACACGCCAAATGTTCATTGTGTAATTTTTAATGCATAAATTAATATTTACTAAGTCTAATTTGATCAACCTATATGACAGAGTGGATAAAAATGCCAAATATCTTTTAACCAGCGCTTAATTGTCACTATTCACCAACCCCTGGCTACAGGGTGTTAAGATCAGCAGTGATGTGAGAGAGCACTGCCAGATCCAGATATGGAGCATGTGGTACCATTGCTAGAAATAGTCTCCTGGGTTGTTTTGAATCACAGGGAATTGGCACCACACCCAGAGTGGCAGGTTGACATCACCAGGGAGCACAATCCCAATGCTCTGTCAGCCTGGCAACCCTGGTATTTGCTCTGTTAGAATAGGCAATACATTACAAAAATGTAAGTCTTCCATGCAAGTATTTGGTTGTGTTTAAATTGGAGAATATTTAAAAAATGTTATGACGTACATCGATAATCTATTTTGGTCATTAGCATATGGAGCAGGCTAAGACCACCTCTTTACAAAAAACACTGCTGTATTATTAATTTGCTTCCTCTGAAACATGGAACAATGAATTAAGCAGTCTATTTAGCAGGTGTGTATAACAGTGAACTGCATTTGCTGGGAAGTCAACCATGTTAACACTGTACACAAACACACTGACACGTACACTAATGAGTAAAAGTGAACCTGCCACATAAGTCAAAGGCAAATTTGAGTCATTATTTGTCATGGCTCTTTCTTCTGCTGCCAAGAGCTTTAGGACTGAGTCTAACTCCAGAAGATTCCCTCAGTAGCACAGCATGATGAATGTACAAATGAGTCAGCAGGTATGTTATTTTCAAACTGCTTGACTGTTGGGAAATTTTCTGAAAAGGCCATCTCTATGCAAATCTTGACATATTCATACATCGACTGACTGCGTTGGGTGTTAACACATACAAAGGAGCTAATCTAATACAAAAGCTGTGTGACTCAAAAGATTTCCTACAAACTGACAGTGACGTCAGTCATCTTATCAAAGTCTTGCATCTTACCTCTTTGCTGCCCTCCACATCCGACGAGTCGCTGCTGAAATCTTCTGTGTTTAGGTTCTCAAAGTCCGACTCGCCCACAGCGATGGGCACTGTGACTGTCAGGCTGGGGTTATGAATAAATGACATGTAGTCGCATTCCTCCATTGGGTACTTCCCTGTAGTGTCCCCACCAACCACGACCCCAACCACCAGCCCTCCTCCTGGCCGTCCATTGCCCTCTGTCATGTACACCCCACTGGGATCTTTGGTGAGCTCCACTGAAGTGTGGTTGGAGATGCAGTTGCCCTTGCCATTGCTGTGCAGTTCATCAAGGGGTTTGCTTTCCTCAGCCAGACCAGAGCCCTTACCGGCCCCACCAAAGCAGAAGCTCTGCAGGAAATGCCGCACTGCGTTTTTGAGAAATGCAATGCCCCGCTGGATTCGGCCCACTGCAATCTGCAGGTTGTTCATTTCACTGTCGTCGTCAGTTGCTGCCAGGTTGTCAGCGCTGAAGGAGCTCAGGAGGAGAGCCAGGAACAGGTTTAGAACCTGGGAAGAAGTGGACATTAGGTAGGGAAAGTGACTCCACTTGACCTTATTACTATCATAGCATAATATTAACAATGCTATCCAGATTAAAGAAAGTAAAGAAAGAGAAAGAACCCCATACCACCAGGTTTCCAATGACCATGACCATCATGAAGACAATCAGGCACATGCTCTGTCCAGCCACTTCCATGCAGTCCCACATGGTCTCAATCCATTCTCCACACAGCACCCGGAACACGATGAGGAAGGAGTGGAAGAAATCGTGCATGTGCCAGCGAGGCAGCTGACAGTCATCAGAGATCTTACACACACACTCCTTGTAGCTCTTGCCAAACAGCTGCATGCCCACCACGGCGAAGATGAAGACGATGATGGCCAGCACCAGAGTCAAGTTCCCCAGAGCACCCACTGAGTTACCGATGATCTTGATCAGCATGTTCAAAGTGGGCCATGACTTGGCCAGTTTGAAGACTCTCAGCTGTTTTAGAAAACATTAAAAGGAGTGTGATTTTTTTTTTTTTCTAAATGATTTAATAGATTAATTAATATTCAACATATATTACATGTTTTTAAACATGGAACAGGATAGGGGAAATCATTTCAGACCTGCTTTAAGGTTATAAAACAATCCAAGCTCATCACCTGCTAGTTCTACATTTTTAAGAGACAGTTACGAGAGTGGAATCGAGCTTACCTAACTCTCAGCAAAAAAGCAAATACACACATTTTCTCAAAATGTCAAACTATTGTTTCAAAAGCAGACCAGATTTTTGATATACTGTATTATTGTTTGTTCAATTTCAATGTGTAAAAGCCTCACTGTAGCCTCATAGAACCTAGAAGTACACAACAGTCATAGAAAGCTTATCAGGTGAACACAAAAAACACATCGTGCCCCAAAGGCCACACCAACTCTCAGTGGGGCCTTTCATGTACTGTACAAAAGCTCTCATTACATCATTACCTCATTAATAACATGAATGTTATTGAGAGAGCCACTGGAGTCTGACTCTAGGAGTCCAGGTATATCTTAACTTTTCTCGTCTGAGTTTAGATATTACTCAGCTTTTACTCAGCCAGTGCTCTTACCAATCTGAAGGACCTGAGCACAGACAGGCCTTCTACGTTGGCCAAGCCGAGCTCCATCAGACTCAGACTAACGATGATGCCGTCGAAGATGTTCCAACCCTCCTGGAAGTAGTAGTAGGGATCCAGGGCAATGATCTTAAAGCACATCTCTGCTGTGAAGATGCCGGTGAACACCTGATAACAAAAGGGGGCAAAATTCTAGTTTTACACCAAAATCTACATCGCAAGAGATATTTTACATTTATGTTCCTTCTGGTTTTGTACAGAGTTTGTAAGCACGTCACACAATACTTGCCAGGTTTCCAACTGAGAGGACGTTATCGAATTCTTTAGTCATGGGGTAATGCTCCATGGCCATGAAAAGGGTGTTGAGAACAATGCAAATTGTGATGGCCAGATCCACAAACGGGTCCATGACAACCATGCTGACTATCTCCTTGATTTTCAGCCACGCAGGGCAACAATCCCAGATCAGACAGGTGTTGGCGAATCTATACCAGCAGGGGGGGCATTTCTGTCTCGACTCTTCAAGCTCTGGAAAAGCAGATAAATTCATGTCAATAAAATGATTCCTTTATACTCAATATTCTGTCTTCCTAGTTTTCTCCGGAAGACGTGAAGTTGAAGACAGGAAGACAATAATACACAAAGGCCGACAATATGGCCTGACCTTTACCTTCCATGGTGTTGGTGAGGATACTGGCCACGCTCATAGCCCTCTGCCTGCCCCCTGGTTCATCTAAATAATCCATGGATGGCTGGCGAAAACCTGACCGCCGTTTCTTAAGCTCAGTATCTGTAGTTGTTCCCTGGAAGAAATACATTTAAAAAACAGATTCATGCCAAGATATCTGAGCAATATAAAGCACAAAGGGAGGTATGTATAGAGCATGTAAGTGAAAACATCTGTGAGTGTGCAGGGCCTCACACAGGATGAGTCTGGTTATATTCTAGATTTTACTTATTGTCAATAAATCCCATGAAAAGGACAATGAATGTAACATACTGCCAAATATTGTGTGTGTGAGACATTTCAGTATAAAACAAAAATGTCTGACTTATATATATATAATTCATTATCAACAACATAAGAACAAAGGGAACTATGGGATATAAATGTGAAGCCGTTAAGTCACCTCAGGCAGCAGGAGACCTATAGGGGAGGTTGTTACAGAAGTTCCACCGACCAGAGACACCACACCATTGCAGTCTACGGCGCAGTGCATCTTGCCGTTTGCGGGCAGTATGACCCGCGGTGCCCCAAGGCTGGTCTGGCTGACGGCGCTGCAGCGGCGCTCGAGGCGGCGCGGCAAAAACAGGGAGCCCCGACGGCTGTCGCTCTCCTCGAAGGTGCTGTGCTCGTCGTCGGCGAAGTCGTTCTCGGAGCCCATGTCGCGCGCCCGGCCGCGGAAGCTGAACAGGCTGGCACGGCTGTTCCTCCGAGGTGAGAAGAGGGATCCGCGGATACTGAGGAGAGACTGATAGAGAGAGAGTGAAAGAGAGAGAGAGAGAGAAAGAGGCAGAGAGAATATGGGGTCAGAAGGTGACTCCAAAAGAAGAGACTTCAAAATGCCACCTTTGGTGTTGTATGGTCCTGTGAAATGAGGGAAGGGGGCAGGTATGTAGTTAGATGGGCCAGGTAGGAATGAGACAGAAACAGAGGGAAGAATTTGGTGATGGGAACCAGGAAAAAGAATAACAAATATGCCACAAAAAAGAGAAGAATTATAGAGAAGAAGAAATATTCACTGATTGGTGAATGTTACTTGATTGTGTTGCTTTTTTTTAATGAAATTGTTTTGGGAATTAAGCTTATATGCTTTCTTGAGAGTATGATGGGAAGATTGATACCGCTCTCATCTGTGTATGCTAAATATGAAGCTAAAGCCGGCATTGGGTTAGTTTACCTTAGCATAAAGACTGGAAGTAAGGGGAAACACTTTAGTCTGAAGACAACAAAATCAGCCTGCCAACACTTCTAAAGCTAATTAATTAACACATTATACCATGTTTGTTTAATCTGTAAAAAAAAAAATGTAAAACTGAAAATGAACTAACTCGCAGGTATATTTCCTAAAATGTTGAACTATTTCTTTACAAAACTTTAAATGAATACACACTGTAATAGGTGAGAATATAGTTCAATCCCTGGTTTTACATATTTAATTTTAGTAGCTTTAATTATATCTCTGGCATGATGTGACAAGACCAATTTCAGTCTAATTTGAGCTCCCAGAATGCTCCACTTATCAGGTAATCACTGACAAATCTAATTTGTCACCTGGTTGGGCGAGGAGCATCTCTTCTCATAAGACAGTCTGTTGGCATCAATGGAGAAGCGGAAGCTGGATCTCTTGATGCTGTCCTCGGACTCAGACTTGTGGAACTTGTCTCTGGCCCCCCTCTCTTCCTCCTCCTCCCTCTGCTTCCTCTTCTTCCGCCTGTTGCGTCGCTCCTTGGCACTTTTCGAGCTGAGCTTAGACGTCCCTGAGGAAGACTCGGAGGTGGGGCCCCCTCTTCCGCTGTACTCTCCGCTCTCCGTGGCTGCTGCCGCGGCAACCTGCCAGCCAATCGGAGCACAAACACAGTTGTCATGGCGACCCCGTGCCTGTCTCAAAGGCTCTCGCGGACTGGAGTGGAGGAGAAAGCCTGGCAGCTGAGAGCAGCAGCAGCAGCACCATGAAGAGCCAAATAAGCCTCTGACACCTTCTAAAAATGGACGCCTGAATGTTTTCATGCAACATTTCCCAAGCAAAGCAATGTACATACATACATATATTATTTCTTTACACAGAAATGTATGATGCCCATGAAATGCTTTTGGGCAGCTAGGTTGGGGGATACAATCTTTGGAAGAAAAACATTGCCAAACATATGAATATAAGATTTTACATTATTATTATTATTATTATTATTATTATTATATATGTAATATTTAAGCAATCAAATAACACAGCATGCCACTTAATTTAGATTTCTCTGATTGAGAGAAATGCCTCTGTGTCCTACAAAACCTACAACACCATAGTAGGAGGATTTAAGACTCTGTCATGGCAACTACAGCACAACCAACAACAATGTGAGTGTGCACAAGCCTGATAAGACAGTGTCAGGCCTGGCTGAGTAGCATGGAAACATAAAGCAAGGCAGCAACAAGCTATCTGACCTTCCACTAATGAGTTAAAGATGAGATAACATCATGTGAAATTCAGAAAGTAAAGGGGGAAATGTAGCTTTCGAATTGCCTTACTCCACTATACACATACTGCATGTCAGTGGTTCCTTTTTTTGGGTCACGTTCCCCACACCATCATCATCAGATGAGCTCAAGTTCCCATTTATCAATCAAAGCAATTTAATAAACATGTATCCATTAGTTTAAGCTAACTATTTTCACATATCTGCTTGCTTATCAATTAGTTTTCACTTTCAATGGCAACATGTGGCTTTCAGATGCTACAACTTACTCAGGTTGGTGGTCTATTGTTCCCGGTTATTGTAAAAATACATTTACCAAGATCAGCATCACAAACATTTGTAAACCTATTTGGATGTTTGTTTTCCTCCTTAACATACATATATGGATACTCCCCCTCCCCCCTAACAACTGCACAAGAAGTACTGATGGTTGGAAATCACTGCTGTATCACCAGTATGTGACAGTCAATGCATTCTAGGACTAATTTTACATCTCCCCTCCTTTGCTACTACATTGGTATCTGTATTATTTCCTACTTGAAATGTACTAATGCAGTGCTGATGTGAGCATGAATATGAACTTCAACCGTGTGTCAGATTTGTAACACAGGACAGAAATAGACTGTCTGGCTTTGTCGTCACAAGCTTCAAAATAACTGGTTTGCTGCCCAGAATCACAAGGTGTGTTTCTCCCTTGATAACGAGCCTCTTATACAGACGACACACAGATTATTGAACAGAGCTACAATCGGTATATTTCCATTAATGTTGTATTTGCACTCCTTGTCAATCTGCTAATTTTTCCTTTCTCTAGGTCGACCAAGGACTCCTGTTCCCCGAGGGAGCGGCAGAGGGGTGTCAGTCATCCAGCACAGTGAATTCCTCGGTTGCCCGTGGCAACGCTGCTTTTGGCAGCTGGCTCAAGACTTTAAGCTCGAGAATCAACAAAGTCTCCCCAGTTACACACAAAGAGATTCTCCCAGCCACTCGTTCATATGATAAATTACTCAGACTATTCCATGTGCTCAATAAAAAACTTCCCTGTTGCTTTAACAGTTTAAAATATCACTTTCTGAATGGACACATTTCATCAGATACAAAATGGTAGCCTGTATCTCAATTCTAACTTGAATTTGAACAGATAAAGATGAATGTCCTGCCTGTGCCTCCTCCTGCTGTCTCTTCAGCTGCTCCAGCATGGCCTGGAACTCCTCCTCCTTCTGCTGAGCCTCCTCAATGGTCGCCTGGTTCTGCTCGTCATAAGCCATGGCCACCACGGCCAAGATCAGGTTGACCAGGTAGAAGGAGCCCAGGAAGATGACCAGCACGAAAAAGATCATGTAGGGTTTTCCTGCGGCACGCAAAGTCTGATGGATTCAAGACAGACCCGAAGAGGATGAGAGGTTGTTGTTAGGAGTAGATTAGTACAATAAAAGAAGTAGAATTTTGTCCTTTTATTTTGTTCTAGTTGACGTAACACAGTATTAGTTGTGGTCATCTCATTGTTTGGTGACTTTGCAAATGTCAATCTGCTGCATTGTACTGCTGCAGCACAAAAACAAAAGACAAAAGAGAAAAACCCCTTACATAACAGGCCTAGTCTATAATTACCGAATGACACACCCTTTTCAACAAACACTTACTGAACTAACTGGATATGTTTCTCAGATATTTACTGATTGAAGGTCAGGCTTTTATTATGAAATCAACTGCTTTCATTTGATGTTTTTGTTGTTTTGCATTTTCACACTGCAATACAACAGTAATTTTTTAAGATACAACAACGTTAGTAACAATCTACAAAGTTCACTGTCAGCGACCTTTACAGATGAATGGTAAATATACCCAAATGACAAGGCAAATCCTGTACTATATAATGATCATAAATGAATCACAGTTATTCTGCAGAGTTCTACCAACCTGCTGGTAGAGGTTTTCCCAGTAGTCCTGCGTCATGAGTCTGAACAGGGAGAGGAACGCCCAGCTGAAGGTGTCGAAGCTGGTGTAGCCATAGTCTGGATTACGACCAGCTTTGATACATGAAAAGCCCTCTGGACAGCTCCTGGTGATGGTTTTAAAGTAAAACCAAAAGCTTGAAACTTTAATAAAAGTCTTAAATATCAACTTAAATCAAAAAGCTACAACATGCACATAAAGGAACAAGTTTCAACATTTGCCATAAAGACATTAAATGAAATGCACCCATAGTTAACCAGCAGTTTAGGTTCCTGCGATGCCTCAGCGCTGTGGTGAGTGTCGACACTAATTGTGTATGCTCAGCTTTGTGGTGCATCTAATTGGCCATATAAATAAAACATGTCAAGCCTTACCCAGCGCCACTGCCATTCCCACAGAGCAGAGCATCCCTACGGCCAGGGAGGTAATAGTAATTACCTAGAGGAGAGGGGAGACAGAGGGACGGTCAGTCGGAGCCACATCACGGGGCTGAAGCCGCGGATATGAAGAAACAGATAAGACCATATGCACGCTGTGGGGTTCTCTTCAGTTTTTGTGTGTGGTGTAATATAGCACAGTGGCTGGGAGACAGAGAGAAAGGTGGTGATTTGTTGTTTTGTTTTCACACCCAACCACATTAGTCATCCGTTTGGCGAAGCAGTCACAGCCACTCTGTCCTCAGGAACCACTTGACTGTCGCGAAATCACAATCACATCAGATTTTTTTTAAGGGGAAAACATAGTCATAGATTAAGATGCCGGACTTCATAACATCTATGCAATTTTAATAATATCGGTCTTCTTTTCCCACTCCTCCTCTTGCTCCGGCATCAGCTTGTCATGTAGCTGGTGCACATCTCCTCGATATCCTGCTCGCGATCAGTGACTCACCCTCCTCTAGCACTTTAGGCTGCTCATGCCACACAGATGGGCTATGGGAGAATGATGAAGGGTAGTGAGGGGGTGAAAGTAGAGGGTTTTATTGTTGTGGCGATTATCTGCCACATTTGCCGCATTCTCCCACCAGCCCTTGTTAGAGAGCGCAGCCGGCGCTCCCAGCCATTGCTGTCACTCCTTATCACGGCAGCAGGCCAACGTGTCTGACCTCCCCCACACCACCACCACCACCACCACCACCCTGACCCATCTCTGCATATGAAGTAGCCATCATCTGACTCAGGCCGTCTGGGTCGGATGCTAACTTGACCCTGGTTAACCTCAATGTGCGCCTGGCAGACATGTAACAGCACTTTCACACGCCTCACTCGGCTTACTCTCATCGCTGATGTACTCCGTCCAGTTGAACGAGTTCTCCGTGGTGTTGATGTACAACGTGTCGGGGTCGGTGATGTTGGTGCCGTTGGTGCCGTTGATGTGGATTGGCACGCGCACGCACTTTTGCCTCAGGTTGCCCATGAAGAGCTGCAAGCCGATGAGGGCGAAGACGCTGAGGCAGAACACGGTGAGGATCATGACGTCCGACAGCTTTTTTACCGACTGGATCAGTGCGCCAACGATGGTCTTCAAGCCTAAACAAGAGAGAGGGCAAGTGGGGGGCGGGAGGGGGACATTGCAGAATGATTACTGCCTGCTAATTACAGCCACAAGCTTGTATAGAGAAGAAGCTGCTAATAAGAGCTTACAGTAGCAAGCAGCCAGGGGGATCTGCAGTGGAGGTTCCTGTATGAACTGTGTGCTGTCATACAGGAACCAGGCTGACACAGATCACTGCTAATCATAGATAAACCACTAGAGAAAGTTATGTTTCTCATGTGCAATTGTAATGGTCTCTGGGAAAATGATCAGCCATAAATGATGTCTTTGTGTGTGTTGTTGTTGTTGTTTCGATATCTTTACAGGACCTGTGATGTTGTCTTCTGTTTGAATGCCACTGAAACAGTTAAACTGAGCTCTTTTTTTAGTGCAGTCGCAAAGACCCGCGCACATTACCGGGTAATGAGCACAAGGTCAATGAGGATGTATCAAAGCGCCATGCTGTTTTTATCCATATAGGCACAGTAGTATGCGCAAGAGGGTCGAGTGAAGTGGTATATAAATTAGAAGGTGATTGTGGGTATTAATTGTTATCCTCTCAGCCAGTCACATTACTGGTCTCATACCTTTCTCATGCAGCTGGTTGTGGAGCATGAGGAAAATGTTAAAGCCAGCTTCTTTTAGCCAGAAAATAATAATAATAAGAATATTTTTATTCCTATTTTCTGTGCGTAATGTTGTATATTACTCTTGTAACTGTTTTGAAACTGTTGCACATTTTAATGCACAACCTAATAAATTAAATTAATACAGTAGAGTGAGATTTTGGGAAATACACTCATTTTCTTTCTTGCTGAGAATGAGATGAGAAGATAGAGACCACACTATATGTCTGCACAGGCCAGTAAGTGTTAAATTTAGCTTAGTATTAAGGTTGGCAGCGGGTAAAACGTACAAAAACAAAATGTAAAAATGGCAATTGTGGTTTTTTGGAGAGAAATTCACTGTTCCTGGCCAAGGAAAATACAGCTAAACTACCACTTGTCATCTTTATGTTGTAGATTTTGATCTGATTAAACAAATGAGATACAATGTGTCAATTAGTGACCTTTAGAGGTGCTGAAAGGTGTATTTTTAACTTCGGACAGAGCCAGGCTAGCTGTTTCCATCTGCTACCACTCTCTATGCTCAGCTAAGCTAATTGCCTGCTGGCTCTATAGCTTTATATTTAGCATGCAGACATGAGAGCGGTATCAATCTTCTCATC